CCTCCCCCGCCGGACATGGCAACAGGAAATGCCCATAAGATAAACGACTGCGTTAAATTCCAGGAGAATTAGGATTAAAGATATGACTAAAGCTCAATGTGGGGTCAGGGTTACGGCTAATGTTCAGGTAGGGATTACGACATAGGAATATTCACCCCTTCTCAAATTTGGCGCAGGTACACTTCGTTACGTAGAGGAGCTTTCCTATTCAAATACGCTGCCGCGTGGGGAGAATGAAAAAAATTTCAGCCATTTTCAGATGTGTAAGGACTGGATAGCGCAGTTAGGCTTTCAAACACCGCCAAAATTAATATTAATCTAGCGCTGACGTTAGTAAATGTACATTACTATTTTAGGACATTTTACCGTCAAGACAGAGACTCCAGGAAGGCCCTTTCTGGTTTATTTGCCGTCGTCAGCTGGGGATACCCTACTACAGTGTAGCAGCGGAAAGTGCCGCCACACTCGAGTTTCAAACCCACGTCTCTCCGGTTAGAGGCAAACGCCCTAACCATTGACCTAACGGGCCGGTTGTTGATCGGGACTATAAATTAGTATATAGGCGCACACCGATCAGTTACGGGGCACACAAGGACATCAAAAACTAGGGCGAGTGTGCCCTGTAGCTGATCGGTGTACGTCTATCTACTAATACATTACTATAGTCTCACCCTGTATGCTTAGGCTGTATTCTCTTCCAGTTATCCTTTCGTTTTCGTTTGTCGTTGCCACCTAAGTTGCTACACCGATTGATGTATAATTAACTCTAAAAAGCGACCTAAAGTAGTTATTCATCTTTCTCTGATAGGTAGACGTTAACAAAGCCAGTTTTGGGCGAGAGTGTGTCAGGTAAGCCCCAGGGGGTTTAAAATGCATAGTCTGCCCTAGCTTGCTTTCCTTTTTCATAGCTATGAGGATTAGCTCTCTCCGTGTTAACTACCACATTCATTAATCAGCAGGGAAAATATTGTTTTATTGCGGTTTTTTATATCGAGAGTTGATTTTTTTCCATTTTTAAGTATCACTCTCAATTTCGTTGCTATATATAGGCAAAGAAGAATACATTTAGTGGAAATTTAATAATCCTTTTATGTTTTCTTACACATATTTCGCTACCTGCCCCTGGGGATTTTCCATCCTCAAAGCTCCCATCACAACAGTTAACATTTTAAACGATCCTAGGGAGATTAATGGTGGATGAGTGGGGCTTACGTAACCTAGTGCTGCCCAGTTTGGTTCTAGAGAATGCTGTGCTGCCCAGTGTTCAAGGCGTGCATGTCCGTCTGGCCCAGCTGGTCTTACCTCCTTGTTATAAACTAACTTTCATGAAAGCGGGTGGAGGCAGGTCTCCTTAGTGGACCACAGTGCACGCGAACACACGTATCACATGAAATTTCATAAGAAACCTCCGTCTTTTGGAAAAAGCCAAGTGTATTCTTGCGCTTTACAAGCTTTACCTTGTCGCTGGTTTATGCGCCACGTTTATTTGGGACTTTTGCCGGTGTAATTTGGGAGTTCAGTCGCATTCTAAACACAAGGAAGGGTTCGTCAATTTGATGTAGCCTACCTAGCTTTGTTTTGAACTGTCTCATTCCTCGACGTAGGAACTAAAATGGGAGAACATTATAAGAAAATACGTCGAACGGATAGTCTAGCTCTACCAGATAAATCTCATTGTCAGAACACTGATTTCGTACTCGACTTGGTTGTTAACAATATTTTGGTTGTGAAAGGCAAGTTTGTTGCTCTATCACTACACGGCGACTTCGTCATATGCTTCTTTGCCTACACCGTTCCGTCAGTCTAAACATTTTAGACAGAATTTTTTTCCACTCAGTCTTCGACGGTAACTTCAAGTCCTCAGAGGGCAGAGTTAAAAATATCATTAAATGTTTCAATTTACTCCATTCAATTTATGATCACTAATCCTCGCCTACATAACGCAGCCATATTATTTAAGAGTAATCAGACGGAGGCTGCTGAATGTCTTAATTTCGGGGTAAGGGTGTGTTATATGGCCCTGTGAACAGAACATGGGAATAAAAACGCCCCGCCTAAGTAATAACAATGGCCCCAAGCGTACTGTCACGAAGGGTAGATATTCTCGTCTGCTAGCCCTAACATTAGTCTTAAAATAAATTTAAACCGCAGTCATAAACTTAACCCTATTCCCACTCCACACCCTCCCACTGCAGTTAACACTCGCGGAAACCTTTCACCTAGGTTTAAACCTAATCCTAGTTTATCTGGACTTTGGCGCAAAGCCAGCTTTATCGCGGGCTGTTTCTGTTTAGGCCCCATATAAGTAATCCTCACAAATTCGTATAATTTGGCTTTCACTAGAAGTCTAGAGACAGATGAACCCAACATAGCATTTGCCCGTTGGTTGTGCTATTATTACTCAAATTGGAAATTTCTTTCCGGACATAGGTGGAAGGATTTGAGCAAGCAAACTGCAGACTCATCTGTGTAATTAATTCGAAGGATGTAGTTTGGAGGCGAAAAGAGAGATCAAATCTAACGACAGGTTCCATCAAATTCTGTTGTCTATGTAATCTTCAAAGAAAACATTTCAGGTCACGGCTTTTAGTGCGTCGTGATAGAATAAAGCGCGTCAAATTGTTTGCACTGAGGAGATTGAAATGAACCGGCCATTGCTCTCTTTATTTCCAGTCCCGGTTCCCAGCCATTGTCCGAGTCCGCCAGTGCACACCCTGGTTTTGCCAGTCACCACTGCTGACCGAGACAGCAATTCAGGTGCCTTGTCACGCTAGTACT